CGGCGGCTATCTCACTCGAATTGAGGTCTTTTTCGTTTCCTTCTTTGGTTGTCCATTCCTCGGGCACAGGATAGACCTCGTCGATGCGCAGATTGACAAAGTTCCCGCCCGTGATCTCCTCTGGCATTAAAAGTGGCCGTGACAGAAGCACTTCGATCACGCATTCTGGTGTCGTCTTTTGCGACTCGGGGGAAGGCGAAAGTAGCTTTGGATTGGTGTATACGATCGGCACAGTCTCGCGGAATGTCAACGGCGACATGGCTGCCGAAGCATCCGAGTCGGGCTCGCGAGTGGCGTAGCCAAGAAATGCTTTGTAAAGTGTAATCTCGCTTGTCCCAAGTAGCGCCGTTTTCTCCTTGGGCAGAGACTCGATGAGCGACAGAGTCAGGACCTTGTTGGCAAAGATCTCGATCAGGGTCTGCAAGCGGCCGGTCAGACTTGGTGTGGGAAGACCACGAGCATGAGGCCAAGCTGATTGGTCGTCGCACTTGCCTCGTCAACCGTGAATGTCTGCTCAAATGTCAGGTTATACTCTGGGTTGCTGCTATCGATGACCACGGGTGTCTGCAGGGTGTGAGACGTGAGCGATTCTTGTCCTGTAGTGCTTGGCAAAGAGCCAATGTTAAATATGCGGCCAACGCGATTGGACCCACGTCTTTGAAGTCAAAGTCTGCAAACTGGACACGGACGAACGAGTTGACGTGCTCGCCCTTGGAGCCGCGGATGTTGAATGCGTTCAGAATGCGGATGGGTGTTGGGCAAAACAAGAGGCTCAGTCAAGGGCCACAGCGGTGGCCAGATCAAGCATATGTCGAAAGATCTTGCAGCAAACAACCAAGCGGAGTTGGAAAAGGATATTCATCACAAGAGGCTCGGGCGAGAGGCCGTCTGAAGGCGCGGGAGCCTGGCCGGTTGCGAGGCCGCCACCAACAGCGGCTCCCCCTGCAGCCAAGCCGAGCGTGAGCCCAGTGCCGGAGCCGGCTGGGAAGGGCTCGTCTGCGCGTGAGTTGGGCGCCTGCATCGTCTTGGCGTCGACAAACGGCTGGCCAGGGGCCTTTCCCGAGACGCTCGCGGGGAGGCCCGCGCCAGCCGGCGGCGCGCCTGTGGGCTTGGCAGCGCCGACTCCAGATGCCGCCGTGCTCGCGCCCGCCGCTGCGGTGCCTGCCGTGCCGGAAGCCTGCGCGACGGATCCAGTCCTCGCCTGCGTCGTGGACATGAGTGCTCTGGCTGCAAGCACGCAGCAGGCCCGCGAGCGCCAGATCTGAGCACGTCCACAGGACGCGGGTGCTGGCCCGAGCCCGGCGACCGCGGACAGAGCTCGACCTGGATGGAGAACTACGAGGCGCTCGAGCCCGTGGGCTCCGGCTCCTTTGGCATCATCCGCAAGGTCCGGCGGCTGCACGACGGCAAGGTGAGCAGGCAACCTCGGCGCGGCCTCTCGGTTGCCGCCCGTCGACCGGCCGCGGGGAGGCATCCCGCCGCGAGCACGCTCGGTCGCCTGGCTGTTGTCTCGGTCTCCCGAGTGTCGTCGCTGCGCCGAGTCGGCCGGGGCCGCTCAGACCGGCCCACAACGCCGTGCGAGCCTGCCGTGGCACGAAGCAGGCCCGAGGCCGCCTGCCGCCGGAAGGGCCCACCTCTCGCACGCCCCTCCCCGTCTTGCAAGCTCGCAGCGGCGCTGGCGGAACGACACGAGCGAGCTCGTGTCCGACAGCCGCATGCACACGCTTGCGATCGCCGTTTGCCCCCCCCCCCCCTCGCCCCGACATCGCTGACAATGCACCATGGCGGATTATTGCGGCAAGGTCCTCGCCCGAAAGGAGATCGACTACCACCGCATGTCCGAGAAGGAAAAGAAACAGCTTGTGGCCGAGGTCAACATCCTGCGCGAACTGCGTCATCCAAACATTGTGCGGTACTACGAGCGCTTTGTCGATCGCCAAAACTGTCTCATTTACATTATCATGGGTACGTCTAACGCTCAGTAAGCAGTATCCTCTGTTGCGCTTGGCTGACGTGCCGGTCATAAGAGTACTGCGAGGGCGGCGATCTGGCAGCAGTCATCAAGCGCTGCAAGAAAGAGGCGTGAGTTGTCGCAGCATGCTCTTTGCCGGTCGGGGAAAGGCGTCGGTGCATCATTGACTTACAGCCTCAGAAAAGCCGATTTATCCCGGAGGAGGTTGTCTGGAATCTACTGAGCCAGCTTCTCCTTGCCCTTGACGAGTGCCACAATGCGGAAAAGCATCCGACCATTCTGCACCGGCAAGTTTAGCGCACGCCCCAGAATATGCGAGGTGACTTCTGACGTCCACTGCTTGTTGCAAAAAACAGCGACATCAAGCCCGATAATGGTACGCCATGATCTCGATGCGCTCTGCGTTGCGCACACCAAGTATCTGACGTGCATCCCAGTCTTTCTCGACAAATTGCTGAACGTCAAGCTGGGAGACTTTGGACTATCGCGCACAATCGAGAATCCCGACGTTGATTTTGCAAAGACATATGTCGGCACTCCATTTTACATGTCGCCCGTATGTTTACACCTGGCTTTGCATGCGTTCGTCGACTGTATGCGCCGGAACTGCACGGCTGAAATGGCGATGCAGGAGCTTGTCGATGAATCCCGCTACAATGCTAAATCGGACATCTGGGCTCTCGGTGGGGACTGCGTGTTGTACGCGAACTTTGCTCCGTCGGCTGACTAGTCTGCTGATCAGGCTGCCTTATCTACGAGTTGTGCGCACTGGAGTAAGCTCGTCAGGTCACGTCTGTGGCGCTTGCGTGTTGCAAATTGCTGATGGTATGCGTTCAAGACCTCCTTTCCAGGCGAGTACCCAGGCGGCTCTGTCATCCAAGATCAAGTCTGGCAAGGTCCCCGACTTGCCGCAGCAGTACAGTCACGAGTTGGAGCGCGTCGTCCGTTCAATGCTTACGCTTGACGTGAGGATGCCGGCGACGGTCTTCAGAGTTGCCTGCGGTCGCTCTATCTAACCGTGCTGTTGGATACAGTTTGAGCGACGGCCATCAACACAGGACTTGCTTAGCCACGACTGCATTCAGCTGTCAATCCGTGAGCAGGCTCTCGCGAACAGGTATGGGCTCTTGTCGACTTTGACGGCAGGATAATGTCGCGCTGACTCGCGCGATATGGTGTCTGCACGCGCAGCCTCGCTGAGCTGAAGCGCCGGGAGGAGGAACTGCAGCGCCGCATCTCGCAGGTCGAGGAGCGCGAGCGACGTGCTGACGAGCGAGAAGCCGAGTTGAACGAGCTCGTGACAATGCTGCGACAGCAGAAGCTACAAGCTGCCGAGTCCCAGAGTGAGTTGAGCTGCTTGTTATCGGCGCGCTTGCTGTTCCGCATGCTGAGCCCCAAGCTGGCTGCAGAGTCCAAGCGAATCCATTCAGAGCGACTGAAGCAGTCGCCCCAGCGCCAGCCGCGTAGCCCATCCTCGGACACTCATCATTCACCACTGCACTCTGCCCGGGGACAGAGAAGGTGCGCAAAAGTGCCGAATCGGCCCGCATTACCTGTCTGCTTACTCTGTGCAAAGATCAACGCCGTCCAAGATCATAGATGCAGCGCTGTCGAGTCGGAAGGACGCTCAACCGCGCAGCTCGCCGGCGTTTGCCGAGCATGCTCGAGTTCCAGAAGATCCTGCTGAAGACGTCGCAGCTCCCGCCGTTCCTGCGTTGCCTTTGGGAAGCCGATCTCCAGAGCTGGGACCAGGGCTGGGAATTGAAGATCACCACACACGCACGCTTGTCGCACAGGCCCAGCGTCTTCGAAGCCGCATCGGTACTTTTCGTGTGCGATAAGTCGTGAATAAAGGACGAACACATTTGTGCAGCCACTTCATTTTCCAAGACTCTCAAGCCGCGCGCCAGCTCGTTCGAAGTTGATGCCCGGTTGCCGCCGCTGCGATGCAAGATGGTGGCGCGCAAGCCAGCCCATTGCCCCTCCGACGGTCATCAAACACACTCTTCGTGCCTGCCTTTGCGCCTTCAATCAATCCGCACAAGGTGTTTGCTTTCGCCTGCGACGCTGCTTGGCGTCCCGAGCGTCCCAAACTTGCCATGCTCGGCCATCTCGAGCCGACACTTCATCGTTACGCCATCCTTGGTCATGTGCAGCTGCATCGATGAGACCACGGTGCGGCCGGCAAAATGCACCTGCGTGCGTTTGGTGATCTTGAGCACGACGGCTCGAGGGATGACGGAATGCGCTTCCCTGAGCAGATGCGCGCACATGCACTGCTGGTTCGACACACATGTGCTGCGTGCTGAGTTCGTCATTTCATGCTCGTCGCGAAAGCCGCTCAGTGCAAGTCTGTCTTCCGAGGTGAGCCTCAAACGCCGCGACTGCATTTGCATTCGGACCCGGACACCAGCGTGCGCGAGAGAGCACGCTTCTGGTTGGCGTCCTCGTCTGCGGCAGCTCGCGCGGCAAGCCGATCGATCGGAAGCATGCCAGCGCCAGTCAATGAGCGAGAGATATCGTGTGAGGTTTGGAGAGACACTCGATCACAAGCGTCTTTCCAAGAACAGCATCGGCGGCGACGGGGTCGGGCAGGCACCACACCTGTGCCGACTCGCCGCCCGGCTGGCGGTGGATTGGACCTGGCGGCGTGCAGACCCACCATTCAATGAAGCAGATGCAGGGCTCCGGCGATGAGTATCATCTTCAGTCGAAAGACGTGAACTTGAGGTGCAGCTTTGTGCGAGGCAGCCTGCGTTGGGGGGAACGCAGCTTGATGCAGTGCAGGAGGCCAAGCAAGCAAGCAGGTGTGCTGGGTGGCACAGGTGCGTGTGGGTGCGGCGGTGCCGATTCTAGCACAGCAGAATGTGTGTTGGGCAGTCCGGTGCGGACTGAGTGAGGGTTTGAGCGCGGCAGTGGACGCGTGCGGCAGCAGCGCGGCGTGCAGGCATCGCAGCAACCGCGTCGTCAGGACAACGGCAAGACCATGTATATAGCGTGTACAAATTTTCGAAAAATCGCGAGAGTGGACAACGTGGCCGAGTGGTTAAGGCGGTGCCCTGCTAAGGCATTGTGTTCTGCACGCGCAGGTTCGAATCCTGCCGTTGTCGCTTTTGCATCTGCTAGTCAGATCACGTGACTGGAGATATCACGTGCCCCAACAGTTGTGCGTTTTCTCACGTGATTGACTGAGCCCGCAAGTTCGAGACGGCGCAAATCTCGCGAGGATCCGCCCCCCCTTCAACACACACACATGATCGTGCTCCGCATCGCGAGGCCCCAAGGGTATGCGTAATAAATTTGGGGCTCCGCCCCCCTTCAACACACACACTCATCGACAAGAAGCACGGCGCTGCGCATCCAGGGACTCCTCGTCCACCATCCGTTCAACTTGCGGGACTGCATCCTCTGCAACGAGAAC